ACAGGTGATCCAGGTGATCAATGGATTTATTTGTCTGTTTGTTTTGTTGGTTTTTGCCCTTCTCCCCCGTCCCTCTTCTCTGCTGTTTTTCTTTCCCAGTCAAGTCTGTCCCGTATTTAACAAGTGAAAATAAATAAAATAAACAATATAAGGTGAATCAAACAGACCATTACAGCACAGCTGGGATGGTCCATTTGGTAAAGTAAATGCGTTGGGCATCTTTCTTCGCCTTTAGACAATAAATCTGATGCAGAAGAACCAAACGGGACAGGCGGGAAAAAACAAACAAAACATGACAACTTGAACAAACTGCTCAGGTCAGGAGAGAGCATCGAGGGCTGCTCCGAGTCGGCGTTCACTAAAGATTTCGATGCGTCGTGAAAGTTGTGACGCACGCTGCGCTGATACTCAGCACGTGTTTTATACTGCTTCACCTTCTGCAGGAGTTGTCAGATGTGCATGTGGCCTCGTGCAGATGAAAACGCTGTCAGTGGTTTGCCGCCGTGTGCACAGCTGAGTCTGAAGGATTTAGAGACACTGTCAGTCTGGCTCCCGAGAAGCTGAACGAGAGACGCGATGAGAACAGACAAATGTAGGAATCACAGGTACGGCTCAGCGTAGTGTCGGCAGAGCAGCTGTGCATGTGGGACTCACATGTGCAGTGATTCTGTCAGGGAGCCGAACAGGCGCAAAGCATCCCTGCCCTGCTGTCGTCATGGAAACAGCAGAAAATCAACCAATCTCCCGATCTCATCTCTCCCCGTCTCCAGCTCGCCCTATTTTTATCTCTCTGGCCCAGAAACAGTCCTCTCCATCCGACGATTAAACTTGTGATAATCGATCAGAGCGCCGAGCCAAACTCTGCTTGCAGCCCCGCCTCCCTGCTTCCACCCGGACGCCGGGGACAGGACGGCTTACAGGCACGCGCCGGGCTGACCTGCAGCCGCTACGACGACGTGATGTTAAAGATTTACAGTAAAGAGAGAAACCCAACAAAGTGATTCAAACATAAAGACACTGCACTCGACAGCAACCTGCAGTTCCTCTGATGTCCAGCAGAGGCGGCAGTGAGTCAGACACGACAGCAGAAATGTTTACAGCCTTTTCCTTTAATCACCCGCCTGTTTATGTAGCATTATTATTAGGGGCGTGGCCTCTGACTGACAGGTGGAGGGTGACACACCTCACTGGAGCCCCTGAACAGCTTCATCTGTAATTCTGACAAAAGCGAGACGTCCCGCAGTCACATGTTCATTTTTCATCGATGGTCACATGTCCTCTCTGTCACTCAGCAGTATCCTTCACTCTCATTGGTAGTTGCTTTGGTCATCAACTGAAAGTAAGCCTTTTCCTCACTCGGGGCCCGCCCAGTAAGCACGGCTAACAGTTTTTTTTCTTGGTTCTGATGATCATGTGACTCACCTGATGACGGCTTTGGTGCTGTCGCTGCCACATTTGAACCCGTCGGCTCTGAGACACAAACAGACAAACGTCAGACAGATGGACAGGAAGTTCGTTTCGGCAGAGCATCACCTCGTCCTGATGTACCTGAAGGTCAAGCGCTCGTTGCTCCACCTCCGCAGGTCGAACAGTTGGAGACAGTCGTCCCGGCAACAGCTGAGCAGCTGGCAGTGGTCAGGACTGAGGTCCAGCGAGGTGACTTTTCCCTGAGCAGGAAACACCTGAACGCAGCTCGCCACCCTGAACGTAAAGAAAAGCAGAACGGCTTTAAACACGCCTTCATTTCTGACCAGCTGATGGCGCCAAAGCTCACGAGAGCAGGTGCAAGCATCAGGGGCTCGTCCCCGAATAATAACTTTTACGATCAGAAACAGAAAACCGGAGAAGATAAAAATGACATCATCCGGTTTCTGATCAATCACGCGCAGTGAGAGCTGATGCTGGCGTGTAAATGGTGGGCAGAGCTGTCAATCACCTGCTGCTTCAGACACTGCAGGACACTGAGGGGAGTCTGTGAGTTAAGCTGTTGCTAAGTAACAGAGGGAGACGGGGTGTCACCCTGGAAACGGCTGGGAGGCGTAAACGAGAGGTGTCTGAATGAAAGGAATCAGATTCCAATGATGGAGCGGAGGATCAGCATCAGGTGGTGCACAGGTGTGCTGCGGCGCGACAGACCAACCTGGAGTCCCACGCTCTGATCTGCCCGTCGTAGTGTCCGCTGATGATGCAGTTCTCCGAGCACACCAGGTCGCTGCAGTACTTCGCCACATTACGCGACTGCAGACCTGCAGGGACACAGTCTGCCTTAAATACCCTCCACCTGCAGGGACGCCACGAGCCAATCAGTAGCAAGCATGCACGGTTACTCACAGGCAGCTCGCCGCAGGTCCCACAGTCTGATGGTGCCATCGGCACTTCCTGTCACCACCTGATGGAAGATGCTGCTGAACCTCGCCGCCGTCACCTTCCTGCTGTGACCTGTAAGAGTCACCTACGACACACACACACACACGCACACACACACAAACACACACACACAGACACAGTTACAAACACAATTTCAAAATAAAAGCTCATCATTGTAAATTAAAAATCACAGTTTTTTGTGTTCGTGTTGATGTTTCCCGTCATTAATCAGACACACCGGGCGGTGAGTCACCTTTACCTTTGGAACGGAGTCGCCCAGCTGCCACAGCATGGCCGCCTTGCTGTAGGACGCGGCGAGGATCCTGAAGCCCTAAAAGCACAAATGCCCACACGAGTGAGAAACACCTCAGTGCTCCATTTACAGGTGAGCTCAGGTGACTTCCTCACCATGGGGTCAAACTCGATGCAGGTGATGCCCTCTGTGCTGCCGTCCAGGGTCCCTCTGTGAGTCAGCAAGCCTGATGACATCAGCAGTGAGGTCACAACCCGTCCTTTAAATCAGCGATAATACAGAAAAACAACGAGCGGGCCTCAGGTGGGCTTACCTGCCCTGACCTCCCACAGTTTGATCACTTTGTCTGTCCCCCCTGTGGCCAGCAGGTCTGAGCTGGAGCTGAACCGCACGGCGTTGATGTCTTGCTCATGGGCATCCTGAAAAAACCAAACATTACAGCGTCGTGTAAACGTCTTACTCCGTGTGAACCAGGTCAGCAGAGAGGCATGCTGGGTAGTGAGAACAGAGCAGTTCTTTGTGTGAGTGCGCGCTACCAGGACTTGCAGAGCTCTGGCCGGGACTCGGGCCGACACACAGATTCTTACAGGAGAGACGAGATCTTCCTCCTGACTGCAGACCGAGTGGCCCCGCCTCTTCCTGCTTATGTCACACACAGAGTCATTCATTCATTCGCTGAGCCGCTGAATGAATGAACCAAACAAAGCATAATGGCGGTCACAACTCACTCAAACAGCTCTTTGATGGAGGTCAGGATCCTCGGAGACGTCACCGACGCCGACCTGAGAGAAGAAACAGTTCATCATCTCATTTAAAGAGCCGCAGTTACGTTAGTAACCCCCCTGCTGAGCTAATACACAACATTAACAATAACAGAAATAATTACAATGATCTCAATAAAAAGTCAGAATAAGAGAGAAAATACAATAAAATAACACAGAAAATTAATAAATGACCTGCTGCTCAAATTTAATTTCATGATCTTATTGTGAGAAAAGCTCCTGAGATCTGAAGAGGCAGACGAGGCCGTTAGCTCACTCACCCACCTCATCCTTATCTCTCCACTTCAACACGCTTTGTCGTCTGTTGTTTGTATGTTGCTATGACAACTCAATTTCCCTCCAGGATTAATGACTTTTGTGTGTAAATGCTCCTAATAAAATGAAACAAAGGCGTGATTGATGACCTCACGAGTCGCATGGGTTTTCGTTCCGTGGACGTGTCCCGTTTCTCGTTCTTTGGAGACGTCGATCTGGAGCTCGGAGCACTCGATGAGCTGAAACACAAACATATTTTATTCTGACAGTGACAGGAAGTAACAAAGTAGTCTATTAATCAATCTTTAGAAGCTTTTAATGGCCAATAAACCGACTTCTTTGAAAAAGTTTCAGCACAACAAAAATGACAGTAAGCCTCTTGAATGTGATCAAAAATAAAGAAATTATTCAGAATATTATCGTCTCAAAATCTTTAATATTTCAAAACGTTCTTAAAATCAAAATTATACTTTTTTTTCTTAAAATTTGTCCATGTTTTAAAATGTTTATCAATACTTTAACAAAGTATTTTTAAAATTCTGTTTCAGTGTAAATGTTTATCAAACCCTCGTCGTGCGTTTCATTTATTCTTACTTAGAGAAACCTGAAGAGGGCGATGTAGAGCTCAGGGGATGGACAGCTGACCTGTCTAAGTTGACCTTCGACCTGGCTGCGGCCTGGGTTGCCTCTCGAGCTCTGAAACAAACAAACAAGAAGATCTCTGTTTGGATCCACACTGACCCTCCTGCAGGTACACCGATGAACAGGTGTGCGCGGTGCATTCGGGTACACCGATGAACAGGTGTGCGCGGTGCATTCAGGTACACGATGAACAGGTGTACGCGGTGCATTCAGGTACACCGATGAGCAGGTGTACACGGTGCATTCAGGTACACGATGAACAGGTGTGCGCGGTGCATTCAGGTACACCGATGAACAGGTGTGCGCGGTGCATTCAGGTACACCGATGAGCAGGTGTGCGCGGTGCATTCAGGTACACCGATGAACAGGTGTGCGCGGTGCATTCAGGTACACCGATGAACAGGTGTGCGCGGTGCATTCAGGTA